TTTTATTATTTTTTTTATTTTTACATACACATGTGATTATTAGGTTTCCACTTTTTGCCTTCACAGAATTAAAAAGGCTTAAAATTTACCAACAATAACAATGTTTAAGATAAGGACTAGAAACAAAAACCTCGTAAAGAATGAATGAAGATAAATACATTCAGAAAAGAAATCAGACGACTGCTGCAATGAAGTATTAAGCAATAATAATAATAGTAATGCAAAGAAAGTAACATTCACAGGGTGACTAATTCTCACATAAATTGGATTCGATTTTGCCTAAAGTAGATCACTTAAACATTAATTTTTACTTCAACTTGTTAATTATATTTTTTAGTTGATTTTCACTGAAGTACTATGTCTCTTTAAATTATATCTAAACAGTTTTCCTACTGTGGTAAAAAATAAATATGTAGGCTACTGCTTCCTCTCAGATGGACTGTAAAATTCTTGTATTATCCCACATTCCTTTCCTTAGCACATTAGAATCAAGGGTCGAGTGAAATTACAAAATATCCTATGCTAATAACTATAGCTGGCAGTTTGGAAAATATGTTTCCATGTAGCTTGTGTATAGTTTACACGTACCTATATCTACAGCACCAAATCTCTTCAGGCAGATTTCTAATCAAACAATGTATTGCCTCACTTGTGGTTATCATGCGTTAATTTGTTTCTCCTCGGTGGCTTTTGACTTCCTTTTGGCGTATTAAAATGTTAGTACTCATGGAATTGAGAATCTAGAGGGGCAAATAGCACAGTGAAGAAAAACGGACAGGTAGGAAGAGAAGGAGAGTGAACTGGGGAGTGAAGTCCACTTAAATCTTTGCAGGACTAAGGTTTGGAGAACCACAGAAGCTCATCAGTGTAGCTAGAACTAAATACGAACATTGACGCTCCAAACTTATGCTCACCATGCACATATAAGGCCACACTGCATTTCTACATCTGTTTTAATCTCTACAAATACAGTTTTGCAACAATAACACAACTCTTATTAGTGACATTTCCTTTCAAATAGTACAATATAGTCTCCCAGACACAATCAGCGATTTATACATGGCTTTAAAGAAGAAACTTTTCTTACTAAAACACACCCATATACGGGACTCTTAAATCAGATTCATTCTATTGTACTCTGCCTGCTT